TAATAAACGCCGAAAACAGCATCTACTGGTATGTGCATATTTTCAGATACATGTTTATACACATACATATATATGCACACCAACATAAAAAACTTGTCTTGGTATTTCATATCGATTGGCTAAATTGAGTGGCCTTAACTTGTATTGAACATGATTGTAAATAAAGCCAAGTGACTGTTTCCTCTTGTCAGCTCTTCTCACGCTGTGCATTATCCCTTCTTCAATTTTTTAGATAAAGGGTGACACAAAATATTCAACATTTGCCACCGTAAAAACACCAGCTCCGGCCAGTCGACTAGTGAGTATCTTGAAGTGAATTTTTCTCTTTGTTAGTAAAAAATAAAATTTTGGCTTCCATTATCCTTCTCGTTGGTCCTTCTCTAATTTAACTTTATATTCTTTTCCTCAGGATCTCAGCCAATGGGTGGTAATAAAAACGTAACGATCGTTACTGAAAACACGTCAATTCCGGCCAGTAACAAACCTCCCAGTCAGGCTGGGATTGTGCAAAAACTCGTCAACGAGATCATCGCTACAGATATTTTCAGCACTAGTGAAGTGTTAGCCAATGTCCTAGGTGCTGACTCCTCACCTAGAATCGGCCTTGCTCCAGCCTTCAGAGATAGTCCACCAACCTCACTTCTTCCCTACTGTCCCTTAGCTGAGGAGCAACTCCCATTTCAGCGCAAGTTCTCTAATCTTATGGATTCTTCCAACCTTTTCAAAAATTGCCCGATCCCTCAAAGTGACTGGATTGATTGGGTTGATCGGGTCGAACCTTACTACGGAGCATTATGGAAGGAGGTCGGCATTTACGATGCCATCATTCTTTCAAAAAATCGAATCTCTATCGATAAGGAGGCTCTCGTCTCATTACTCTTTTTCTGGTCGAGTTCCACTAATGTCTTCCATCTTCGGTGTGGTATGATTGGCCCGACGGTGCAAGATATCTGTTTTCTTACCGGGTTTAGGCCTCACGGTACAGAAATAAATTCACTTCTCATCGTTCCTGAAGTAGCTTATGAATATCCAAAGAAACCTGACGCTTCTGAGCGCATTACTACCCATGGCCCTTTTATTAAAGCCAGCAAAGGTAAAGGAACTTCGGTTTCCATCACCGAGCATATTTCTTTCTTGGTGTACTGGCTGAATAGGTTCTTATTTTGCGTTTCTTCGCTCACAGTCACTAAGGAATTTACTCAATTGGCCCTTGCTCTTCACTCGGGCGAGAAACTTGCTTTCGCTTCTTTTTTGCTTTCTTATCTTTACCGTGGCATCGGGGAATATGTTGCTTCCAACTTCAAAACCTGTTTTGGGCCATTCTGGCTGTTACAACTTTGGGAATACGCATATTTCCCTGAACTTTACCCCGATCTCGACTTGTCGACCGCTGTTCCTGTTCCCGGCTATCATTATGCACGTATTCAACCAGGAAAAAGATCGTTCAAAACCATGTTCTCCTTCTTTTACAAACTCCCTGCATATCGGGCCAGTCATCTTTTCTTGCCATTCTCTCCTAGACCGAGGCGACCTTTGTGGTTTTCCTATCCCCCTGCCCAGGCTCCACCGAGTTGCCAAGACGAACATACACAAACCTGGGCCAGTTTCTTGATTGCTAGGGACATCTCTTATGGATGTTCAAGAATGGGCTCTCCAAATAGTAAGTGTGTAGTGGAGTATTACAATCCCCCACAATTTGCTAGACAATTTGGTCTCACCCAACTCGTTCCACTTCCGCCTTTTCGATCTTTCAATACTTCTTTCTTGAAACGAGTAGTCTTCACCTCAAAAGAAACGGTGGATAGAGTATCCTCCTGGTTTAACCGTCTCTGTAATAAGTTCTCTTTGCAGCCATTTCTGGAAAATCCTGATACTTCTCCATCCTTTGACTACTGGTGGGGAAACCATATTGCGGAGGTTATGGTGGAGGATTCTCGCACTATAACAAATAGGATTGCCTCCATTTTTATTAAACCCCAAGGCGCCTCGACCAAGCCATCAAAAGGGATCAGTATGGCTAATCCTGGTTCTCCCAGCAGGACGAAAAAATCAAAGTCGTTCAAAGAAGGTACACACTCATACTTACATATATATAAATACCAAGTTCTATGCCTTAGATCATAAAAACATCTTTTCCTTTATGCAGCTGTTGACTTCTATGACCTATTGGGAGTTTATGATCATGAGGCGGAAATGCCTGAGGCTGACGAGGAAAACGTGGTGCCCCCCAAGAGGCCTAAGGTTTTCCTTATGAATTCTTCAAAGCATAATATCTTAGAACTTTAGCTTACTTATATGTACCACCTATATACCCCTTTTTTAACCTCAATGGTATTCCAGGTGATCAGGGCAGGGAAAGGAAAAAAACAGGTTACCTCAGTCAGGACCACCAGCCCTTTACCTCTGATCGATGAAGAGGAGGAAGAAAATCCTGGCCCCTTGATGCCATCGACTTTCTCAGTTGAGACAAATATTTCTACCAGCCGTGAGGTAACTAGGCTTTGTTTTTACTTCCAGTATCAATGTACCTTGCCGATTCTAATGGCATCTTTATGGACAGGTTTCCTCACACTCGGCTAGGTCGTTGTCAAGAGATAGGATCAACACTTGTGATGACATTGCAAATGTTGATCACCCTCGCACTAGTGGAGTCGAGTGGCAACAAGCCATTACTCAACCAAACACTGTCTTTCATCAGTTTGATGGGGCTAAGGTGATTTTCAAGATGATCTTTTAGTACATCTCCCGTATATCTTTATCAAAGTTAGGCATTCAGAAACATTCTTCTCTTGCAGGTTGCCCCGGGCACACAACCAAGAGTTCCAAGCCCTTACTCTGCACCAGCGTTTGCTACCAGACGCACCTTTGGCCACGTGACTCGGCCTTCACCAGTTGGTGTGAGTATTTATGACTTATTTTCTCATTCAAGCCTTGACTTGTTTTACTAAATTCCTTTCATTCACAGGTTGGCTCAAATTCTCAGTCCCAACCGCCCCTTCAAACTTATAGCACGATCGATGACTTTGATGCCTACTTTTCCGAGATAGCGGCTGGGTTTAATCTAGATCCCTTGATGAGCGAGCTAGTTGTTGTGCCTACGTATTCCAGTCGTCCGCCAGATATTGAGGGGGTAAAAAGATTACTAGTCGCCGTCGTGTCCCGAGACCTCTCTGAGATACCAAGTTTGGCTGTTGATGTGACTGATGCCATGTCTGTCTTGATAGATCATCATGACTTAAGTCAAGAATAGATAAACCATCTTCAATCTGTCCAGAGTCGATTCCCGACTCTCGTCTCTGATTTTCAACTCTCCTCTCAGAAGTCTGGTGAGCTGTCGTCTACGATCCATGAAAAGCTACAGGAGCAAGAATCTTTGATTCAATAAGAGAAAGACAATGTTTCCCATTTTCGGACCTTAAAATCAACTCATGTTAAGGAAAACCAGAGAGCAGCAGAGATCGAACGGGAGATAGAACATCTCAAGATGGAATTGACTAGAACTGCCTGATCAAGAAAATGACTCACTATTCAGATGAAGGAGATTTATCAAAAGAATATGGAAATTTATCAGCAGAGAGAATCAGTCTCAAAAGAAATTCCTCGACTGAGGACTGAGAAGGCCAAAGAGGATGAAAAAGTGGCCATGTCTAAGAAAGAGTGGGATGAGCTCAGGAGTCATTTTGTTTATCTGCAAAGAAAATGATAAGTAATGACTCTTATAAACTTTTGTACTCAATGAAAACAATGAATGAAATGCATGTCTCTATGGCTTCTGGTTATTTAACCATCTTTGGTTTTATTCTCCATTGTCTCCCACATTATAGGATAATAAGTTTTTAAGTATCGGCCATTAATCGGTCGAGTGTGTATTTCCCCGTCAAGATCTTGCAAATGATATGCGCCTCTTTTTAAGACTTTGTAAACCATAAATGGACCTTCCCAATTTGGTGACCATTTTCCATATTTTCGATCATTCACACCCATTGGGAGGATAGTCTTCCAAACCAAGTCACCTTCACTGAAGATTTTGGCCCTAACATGCTTGTTATATGCCCTTACTACTCGCCTCTTCTGAGCTTGTATGTGGTCAAGAGCCCTTAACCTTACTTCATCTAGGTCCTCCAATTCGACTAACATAGACTCATTATATTCAGCAGGGGTCAAATTGTTTTGCATTGCGAATCTCATTGACCGCACAGTCACTTCCATAGGCAAAACTGCATCATGACCATAGGTGAGCATGAATGGAGTCACACCTGTGCTTGACCGCTGAGAAGTCCTATATGCCCAAAGTGCTTCTGATAACAGTTCATGCCACACCCTAGGGTTATCTTCCACCATTTTTTTAATGATGCCTTTTAGCGTCTTATTAGACTACTCGGCTTGACCATTTCCTTGTGCAAAGTGAGGGGTTGAGTTTAGGAGCTTGATCCCGTACTCTGCTGCAAATGCCTGCACTTCTTTGGCAACAAGGGCTGAACCTCGATCAGTTGTGATTGATTCTGGGATCCCAAATCTATGAATAACATGTTGTTTGATAAACCGAATCACATCTTCATGGTGCACTGACTTCATGGGCACTGCTTCGACCCACTTGGTAAAGTAGTCAGTTGCCACAATGATAAAACAATGTTGTTTAGAAGAAGGTGGATAAACTTTCCCTATCAAATCCATAGCCCAGCCTCTAAAAGGCCATGGTTTTATGATTGGTTGTAATTCAATTGCCGGGGCTCTATGGATTGGCCCATGCCTTTGACATGCTTGACATCTTTTGGCGTATGTGATGCAATCTTTAAGTATCCCGGGCCAGTAATAAGCGTACCTTCTAATCAGCCACTTCATTTTTATTCCAGGTTGGTGAGCACCACATATCCCTTCATAGGTCTCTCCCATTACTTTCATGGCTTCTTTCTTACTGACACACCTTAAGAGTAGGTCATCTTTGATGCTTTTCCTGAATAGGTCTCCATCAATTATCACAAACTTAAGAGCTTTGATCTTTAGCTTCTTGTCAGCCTTAGGGTCGGATTTTTGAGAAAATTGACGATTGGTGTTCTCCAATCATTCTTTTCCATATCCTCTTCCACCTCGATTGCAAAGACCTCTGCCAACAATTCTTCCCTCACCTTGACTGAGGGTAAAGATCTTCTCTTTATTCTGATCAAATTCTCCATTATTCCTTCTGGCACCCTAACGCCAGATGCTATTTGAGCCAAATCATTGGCCTCTTTATTATGCAATCTATAAATATGCTTGACCTTTACCTCTGCAAATTCTTGTAGTAATTGCATGGCTATGGAGTGAAATGGTTTGAGGTGCCAACTTTGGCACCTAAAATTGCTGGACAACTGACCGATCACTAGACTTGAATCACCTATGATTTCAACGGTCTGTGCCCCCATCTCTAAGAGTATTTCAAGACTAATAATTAGAGCTTCATATTCTGTTTGATTGTTAGAACATTTGAAATCTAGAAAGAAAGAATATATTGTTTTCCTGCCATTTGGTGCAATTATTACGACTCCAGCTCCCCCGACATCATTTGCGCTGGATCCGTCAAAGATTAGAGTCCAAGAAGTTAGTTGAATAGCACATAACTCCATTGCATCATAGACTCCTGGATTAACATCCAAGCATGGATGGTCAACTAGGAAATCAGCAAGTGCTTGGCCCTTTACGGCCCTTTGAGGCACATATTGGAAACTGAATTCCATAAGGGCCAAGGACCACTTGCCTATTCGTCTAGAAATTATTGGACGAGAAAGCATATACTTAATTAAGTCAGTGGCACAAATCACATAAACTAAAATAGGTAGCATATATATTCTCAATTTGTGAGCAGCAAAATACAAAGCATGACACATTTTTTCGATTGGCGTATATCGACGCTCAACCGGTGTCAAAATACGACTAAGGTAATACACTGCATGTTCTTTCCTTACTTCATTATCTTGGGCTAACAAACTTCTGATTGACTCATCCGCGGCTGAAATGTATAACTTCAGTGGCTGTTTCTTCCTAGGTGGCATAAGGACAGGAGGGTTAGCAAGATATTCCTTGATTGATTCAAACACATGTTGGTGATGCTTTTCCCATCAAAAGTCTTCCTCTGATTTGAGCTTTAAGAGTGGAGAAAAGGTATGGATCTTTCCAGCACGGTTTGAAATAAACCTTCCCAAGTATGTGATTTGACCAATTAGTCTTTATAACTCCTTCTTGTTGCGAGGTGGTTGAGCTTCGATGATCGCCTTAGCTTTATTCTTGTCAACCTCGATACCCCTCCGATGCACCAAGAACCCTAGAAAATTCCCCGCTGTCACTCCAAAGGTGCATTTAAGTGGGTTCATCTTCAAACCATGGGCTCTCATTCTCTCAAATGGTCTCTTCAAGTCGGCCAGATGTTTTGCCTTTGTCGCTGATTTCACCACCACGTCATCAATGTATACTTCCATAAATTTCCCAATCATGTCATCGAAGATTGCATTCATAGCTCGTTGATAAGTGGCTCCGACATTCTTCAAACCAAAGGGCATCACCACCCATTCGAAAGTGCCTATGGCTCCAGGACATCTAAATGCCGTTTTGTTAACATCATCCTCTGCTATGAATATCTGGTTGTATCCTGAGTGACCATCCATGAATGACAGAATCTCATTCTTGGCGGCCGCATCAATCAATTGATCGGCCATGGGTATTGGATACTCATCTTTTGGAGTAGCTGAATTTAAATTCCTGAAGTCTACGCACACCCTAATCTTTCCATTTTTCTTAACCACGGGAACGATATTGGATAGCCAATCGCAATACCTTATGGTCCGGATGAATCCTGCTTTGAGCAACCTCTCAATTTCCTCCTTCACTTTCATAGTCACTTCTGTTGACATACGTTTAGGCGCTTGCTTGAACGGTCTAAAACCTTCTTTTATAGGTAGTCGATGCTCGACTAGCTGCCTTGGTAATCCTGGCATCTCAGTGTAATTCCAAGCAAAACAATCCTTATATTCTCTAAGCAACAAGATCAGTTCAGCTTTAAAGTCAGGTTCTAGAAGATCACTTATGTAGGTTGGCCGAGGCTCTTCTTTTGCTCCCAAATTGATCTCCAACAAGGGATCCTGAACATCGGCTTTCAGATCTTCTAGCTTAGCTGGGGCTGCATCTAGCTCTTTTAGCTGAATAACATCTCGACAATCCCCTGACTCACCTTCTTCTATGATTTCGGCCATATTGGCCGATATATCACTCCACAACATTGCCCGTCTTTCGGCGAGATATGCTCTCAGCCGTGCCATGCTAGCTTTAAATGCTAGCATTTTCTCCTTCTCCTTTTGGGCTTGGTCCATTAACAACCTGTTGTTCATCAACTTCAACTATCGGCCTTGGCTCGTAGATAACACTTGGCCTTGATAGTTCCTTGAATAAATCGGATAAGTCCCCGTCTGTCAGATTTTTCCTCATCGTCGCCTTCTCAGGCTTGCCATACTTGTCACAACCAATGAGCCTTACAGGACCTATTTCCTCCTCATATAAAACTGCATCAGCCACATGGACCCGAGCTTCGAAAGGCTTATTGTCTCCCCATATGACTTGGATTTCATCCCCATCCCAGAAAATCATAAACTGGTGGAGGGTAGAAGGGATGCAAAAATGTGGGTGTAACCAATCACGCCCAATCAAAGCGTTGTAAGCCACCCCTGCGTCGACTACGAAGAATGCAGTCATGGTCTTACATTTTCCAACTGTCATTTCCAAAGTGACCACCCCTCTGGTCCTGGCTCTGCCCCCCGTGAAATTACTGACTGTCAAGTCAGTGGAAATCAAGTCATCTTCTGTTTTTTACAGCAACCTCATAGTGTTCATCGGAAGGATATTAACCGCAGATCCATTATCTATCAGTGCCCGAGACACTGGCATCCCTTCTAGGAACACTCTGATATAGAGTGGTTTCAAGTGTTGAGACATTGCCGCAGAAGGCTTCTCAAAAATCACCCTAGCCGCCTGATCTCTCCTAATAGTCACTGACTCATCATCTCGTGGTTTAGCTCTTATCACAGCGACTTTCTGTTTCTTATCTTCAGAGATCAACTCAGATGGGTTCTCAATAATCTTCGGAACTTCCTGACCTTCATCATCGATCACCTCGACGTTTCCTTCCATAGCGGAGGGTTGATCAGGTTTAGCCTCAAAAATATGAGGCAATGTAAGAACCATATTGCAATTCACAATTCCTTCAAATGAACCAAATTTGATACCCTTTGAACCATCATCCTGGTCATCCAGGTCGAGTTCATTATCACCAAATCCTGCTTCATCTTCAGCTTCTTTCATGGAGGAAGACGCACATTTGTCTTCAGTGCATCCATTTCCGTCTGCACTATCTTCCTTGGATTTTCCTTTCGGATCACTTTTTGAATCTTGCTTGATAGGTTCTCTCCTAAGCAAAGTCACCTTCTCTGGCTGTGGAGCTGAATATTTTTCTTCCATTCTCTTTAACTCAGTTTTCATCCGCTGCCACCGTCTTACTTGAGTGCGAGTCATGAATGCTGGCAGGATATCCCTGACCCTAGAGAACTTTGGATGACTCACCCTTGACCATCGACCATCGTCAGTGACTGGTGGCTTGACCATCCTTTGCCTATGGTTTGGGTGGTTAACTGATGTCTCAGCTTGGCGAGCCACATTTGAGTTATACTCTCTAGGCTTCCAGACAGCATGAGTAAGATTTCTTGACCGATTGTTGGGGTTCACTTCTCGCATTCGCTTGTGATGCTCATTGGTATTAGACCTTCTATCAGGCCATGTTAATCGACTTGTCACAGGCACCCTAGACGAGGGTGACCTAAGTCTGTTTTCATGACGTGAACTTCCAGGACGTCCCCGAGTGTCGCTGTGGAACCTCTCTCGGTCCCTTCCAATGTCTGTCTTACATTTAGGGCATAATCCTTGCTTGATCAGCGCCAGTTGAGCCTCCCGCAACTCCTTTTCTAAGTCATCCTTAGACCTTAGAGTTTTCTTAACCATTGGCTTCTTTCCCTCAACCTTGCTTTTTCTGTTAGCTGAAGTATCCTCAAAATCAATTCTTCTCCGTGGCCTGCTGGCCATTGAGATTTCAACCATGTTATTGCTGACCAAGGCTGGGAATGGATCACTGTCAACGCTCATCACCTCTTTCTTCTTCTCCGGGAACTTCCATGCCCCCTTCTCGATCTGTGCCTGAATCACATTACGAAAGACAACACAATTATTAGTTGCGTGATTCCAGGAGTTATGATATTTGCAATACTCTCGACCCTTGATTTCATCAGCTGAAGGTATTTTATGTACCTTAGTGACTTTGATAATTTTATCAGACAACAGGTGGTCAAAGATTTGCTCTACTTTACTTATATCGAAAGCATATTGTTTGCCAGCCTCAAAGATATTCCTTTTGGCTGAAGATGATGAGGGTTGAACACCGCTAATAGTCTCTAAGGGCTTAGCTAAAGCTTTACATACATATGGTTTTTTTGAAATAATTTCAACAGCATCAACCTCTAAGTCATCATATACTGTATCAACCATGTGTATTTCATAATTAGGGTCCTTATAATAGGTCCCCCGAGAGGAGTTTTTCCTCTCGTAAGATTTTTTCATACTTGGTAACCCTATCGGCTAATTGGAATAAATCTCCAAAATGAGTACCCTCGAACTTCTTTCGTAATTCAAAGTCTAAACCGCTAAGGGCCAAGTTGACAAACTCTTCTTCAGGTAAAGTAAGTTGGCACCTATTTCGTGCCTTCTTAAACCTAGCCAAAAATGTCTCAACATCCTCATTTGGTAACTGATGGATCTTAGATAGGTTGGACATAGAGACTTCTGGTTCTGTCCTATAGAACTGATCATAGAACACATCCTGCAACTGTTGCCAAGTGTGGATGGAATTTGGTGGCAAGTTTAGATACCACTTGAAGGCAGTCTCAGTGAGGGTGTTAGAGAATAGCTTCATTTTATACCAATCGTTGTTACTGAGTGGCCCACATTTTAATGTGAAACGGCCAATGTGCTCAAGAGTCGATTGGTTGCCTTCTCCTAAGAAGGTTGCAAAGTTTGGCACCCGAAAATTTTAGGGAAGATCCATCCGATCTATCCAGTCAGGAAATGGGTGCCTAAAAGTAGGTCGAGTAGCCCTTTTTAAAGCTGGTCCATACTGTTCTTGTATGACCTCAGCCAATTGCTCCCTAGTCATGACTATAGGTGGGACTTGGTTCTGAAAAGGAACATTGGGCCAAGGGTTATGTCCCTCTTGCCCCCTTGGGTTCGCAGCTTGAGGTGGCAAGACTTGAGGTTGAAAATGAGGAGGTCGACCATTAGGTTGGTCATGATTCCTCTATCTTGGTTATTGGTGACCATTCACTCCTTGCTCTACTGGATGGACTTGTGGTGGAATTAGAGTTACTGGTCGAGGACCATTAACCATGGGATGTGGCTGGGCACCTCTTTCTGGTTGACCAACTTGTTGAGGAGGAAACTGGTCCACAGGTCTATCATTTTCGTTTTCTAACCTAGGCGGCTGAGCAATAACCTGCCTATCAATACGAGTCACTAAGGCATTAATCACCTCATTCAGCTGTTGGAGCTGAGTATTAGTCATGTGGGATGAAGCCACCAATGGCTCCATATTTTTGTTGATTTCCCAAACGACTTGGCGTTGGGAAGCCTCCACTCTACTTTCAAATCATGTCACCATATTGCTGACACTTTTAGCCGCTATTTGGTGGCTGGCCTGATGTCCCTCTTCATGCTCAGACCCAGAATCTTGCATGATGGGAGCAGGCTGATTTTCTTCCTGATCTTCCATTTGAGGGTTAGCTTGTCCAGCTGAAGTCTGAGTCTGTGACCTAGTCTTGACGACCATTTATGAACAAAATAAGGGTCCCACCGGCCGTGCCAAAGTTGTTTGGCTCACAAAGTGGTCTGAGGTCGCTAGCCAATGAATGGCTGACCTAGAACGCGGGCGTGCCAGAGTCCTGATGGACTCGAATATTTCTTGCCA